TAACACTCGAGTGAGGACGAGTTGGTCTGACAGACAAGCTACAGCGGCCCTGAACGGGTCCTGGGGGCCCCTCAGTACACTCTCTAATTGCGTGTATACATATATGTATATGCTGTTCCATATCCATCTGATCTCTTCCAGTTATTTTTTCATCCAGGTCTTACTAGGGAAATCACACACTCACATTCTTGAACACATTCAAACATACACACACTCAAACTCACACAAACACAAACATTAGTACTGGCTTGTTGTGTCTCCTGGTTCTCTCTCTAATCTTAAGGCTTCAGAAGCTGTGGTTTGCTAACTTGGAGGCATTTCAACTGAAGACCCCTTTGGAGTGGGGTGGGCAGCATAGTCATCCTTATACAGCTTTGGGCGCAGATTTTCAGTAAGTGTAAACGTACATCAGAGAGAAAGTAGAAGGTCTGGGGTGATAGGTTGTTTTGAAGCAAAAGGAAGGGAAACAGACATTTTTTTTCACTCCCCTCTCCCTGTGCTAGGCCTGTCCCAGGTGCTCTCATTTAATGAGATTCAGAGAAATCTCATGATTATCCGCAGGCAGACAGCACCAGTGGCAACCCAGTTTCTGACCCCGTTTCTCTGACTCAAATGGCCACACTCATTGTGCAGTCCTACTCTGATTCTTTAGACATCATTCACTTATTAAATTAGCATTTGTACTTTTCTATAATACGTCAGGGATTGTGTCAGGTGATCTCACTGAATCCTCACAAGCACACAACGAGCCCATGAGATGGACTGAGGCCTGCAGTGTGCAGCTGGTAGTCGACTATCCACATTTTACAGACCACAGAGCTATGATCCTGGAGAGTCATGATTGGGAAGTGGCAGATCTCAGCCCAGGTCTGCACCTTCCAATTCTCAACCCAGGAGGTCTTTAGTTACACTTAGCTGCATTGGTGACTCAGGCTTTCCTTAATTGATCTTTCCCTTGTTCTTGGTGTCCATGTGGTAGCTCTGTTTCTCTAACAGTACAGCAGAGGGAAAAAAAGTGCCATGTTTATTTACATGATCACTTCTTTTTTATTCTGAATATCTTTTCAGTGAAATAAGAGATGAGATTATCTGAGGATTTCTCCTCAAAGAAAGTCCCAGGGAACAATGGTCCCTGATAGTTAGCCATGGCTATAAACAGCATCACTTTTCTTCAAAGTGTTGGTTCAGATACTTCATTAAGAGAAGTTCAAGAGGTATAATTGTAATTAACTCTTTCACATACTTTGAACAAAAATGATTCAATGAAACCTAATATACTTACTCTTAATCGTTCTGATCAAACCCTCAGATATTCAAGAGCCATCAGGGAAAATTGGAGAGAGGATGAAGGAAGAATACAGAAAGCTGCAGAAGTGTATGCACAATTTAGGTTTAATATCAAGTTCAACTTCTTCATTGGCAGTTGCCAGATATTTTTAAACCTCTGCTTTGACCTTGAGTAGAATATGAGAAGTAGCATCTGCAGAGAAAGCGCAGTCCTCAGGGCTCACCCCTGTGCCTGGTGCTGAGGGAAGACCTGCCTTTGAACTTCCCCTGCTTCGTGCTGAGGCTTCCGTCTGAACTCCTGAGGGCTCACTCTTGGTGGGAGTGTGTCACCATCTTCTTTTCTTACCACCCACCAAAGCCCTCACTCACGAAAAGAGAGATGAGGGCTCTGCTGGTTCTACGCACTGGATAACACTTGCTACCAGCAGGAAGGTGGCCTGCTATCCACATGCAAGCCTTTCTTCTTCCATTTCTTCCGTTCTTTCCATCAGAAATGCCCTTATTCCAGGTCTCCTCTTGCTAACGCCTGTTAATGCTGTAAATCAACTCAGATGCTCCCTCCAGGAGCCGCCTCACCTGTGTGCCCTGGATGTTTCTTACTTTCTACCTTCTCAATTGGACTACCTCATCTGCACATGTCAGTCTTCAGACTCCATCTCTAATACTCGGTTCCTGTTTATCGAGTGGGTGAGCAGATCATTTCACTTATTTTTAGGCAGCACATTGCGGTAGGGGAGGTTGTAATACGTCTGAGTTCTAACTGGTTAGCTCCGCAACCCTTGAAAACTCACATTATTCTCCATGTGAAGAATAAGCCCTCAGCTGAGAAAGCTCTTTTACACATTCCCACATGACAGGCTTACTTACACTTTCTTTAGAACACTTTTCTTTCAAATATTAGCCCAAATCCAAATTCTTCGATAAACCTTATTCAGTCTACCTTCCTCCAAGCTCTTACATCCTCGTATTTTGGATCACTCAGTGGGCATTTACATATAATATTGTATTTATAATTATTCTTTTATTAAAATTTTCTGTCTTCTCATTTGTGCTGTAAACAACTGTGGGGTGGTTAGTTCTAAGCCATGAAGCTAGGACAGTTTCTTGATGGTAACAGGTACAGGATAAATGCTTGTTCTTGCTCTTAAACTCTATTTTTCATCTTTGATGTCCCCTGATGCTCCTTCCATTATAGTTTCCCTCAAGGAGCTGAAACTACTTCTCCATATCTACAGATGCCCTCTTTCTCCATTTGAGGGCTAGTCTCTGTGTCTCCCATTGTGCACAGTTTGGTGTCCTGTCCACAGTAGCTGCTCAAAAAATACTTGCTAATGAACTTATCTCCATGGATTTTTGTTTTGAGCATCAAACATCATAATGTTTGTGAAAGCGATTTGAAACAAAAAAAGTAAAATGTAAATGCAAGGGATTAATGCTGTGATTCAATGAACCCAGTCCCTGGCAGGCATGAGATTTGATGGTGATGATTTAAATCCTGTAGGTCAATATGCAACAAATCCTTCTCAGATTCACTTTCCTTTAAAAGGCACAATATTATACTGGTTTATAATCTCAAGTTTCCTGGTTTAAAAAAAGTACATTTCCAGCTGAGTGTGTGTCATGCTCTGGGGCCCTACACATCTAAATATTTAACAGGATTGCTCTATATGCCCTTATACCGATGCTGCCGATATGCGATTTGGCTTTTGCCCAGTGGGTCCCTGGGCTTTTCATCATCCAGTGCATATATTGGCTGCAGAACGCCTGGGCAGCAAGAATAGTGGGGTTGCTGAGGCATCGAATGCAATCAGAATGTTATTTAGAAAAGCTGGCTTGGCAGCCAAGCCTCGCACACATCTTTTATTACACTGTATCTTTGTGACATATTATTTCTGCTTCACAAGGTCACCTGACCCTGAATGGGACCTGTGGTCCATTGATAACACGGCTGGATGACTGCCGTGGCGTGAGTTAGGACTGGACCGAGAGAGGGATGAGTCTCCAAAAGTCCCAGCCCGCCCTGGCTGAGTTCTCACATTTCTCTTGTGCTCCTTAGCTCTCCCTTTTCCACGTTATTGGTGTGAGAGGAGGGTTAGAATGGGCAGAGGATGGTTTAATCAAAAGCTTCTTTACATGATCGGAGAGGTGGGGTGGAGTGGGAATCATAAGGATCAGGTAAAATTCATCACTTTCTACACGTAAACTTCAGTCCTGAAATGAGAATCCATGTCCCAGCCTCTGGAGCAAGATTTCTTCCACTGGGTTTTTCCCTTTCTCTTTATATGTCTGGTTCTTACCAATGGCCAGCTTTCAGCCATTAGCTCAGAGTTCTACTATGAAACATTTATGCATTCTTGGTGTTTGATCCTCATCTAAGCAGAGAACCATTTGCTTTTTGACCAATTCACTCAAACGTTATTGATTCAGCATCTACTATGTGCCAGTCACTGTTCTGGTTGCTAAGGAGACAGCATCAAACATGACAGAGGTGGCCCTTTCCCTCATGGAATTTATGTCTGGTGGGGACAGACAGACATAATCAAACAAATAAGTAACTAAATAATACAATGTCAGTAATGATAAATGCCATGATGGAAACATAAAAAGGTGAATTGATCTCATTTAGATTGGAGGTGGTAGGGGAGGATTTCTCTGAGGAAGTGGCATTAAACTGAGATCTGAGTGACAAGGTGCCAGGAAAGCAAGAGTCCTAGGAAAGAGTGGTCCAGAAAAGGCTTGAAGGCATGGGTGTGCCTGCTGCGATCTTGAAACAGGCTGAATTCAGTGTTTGTGGAAGGCAGAGGCCCAGGGGATCAAGTCAGAGGAGTGGGCAGCGCCGGATCCAGCACTTGTGGGTTAGAGTAAGCAAAAAGAGTTTTATTTTCTATGCAACAAGAAGTTGCTGAAGGATTTTAAGCAGAAAGATGACGTTGTGATTTATGGTATTAAAAAATAACTCATTTATTTGTTTTTCTTTATAGTTTTGCCACATATATATATATCTCTAAACAATATAATTTTGTATTTTAACTTATTTGAATGGAATTGTATTCTGTAAATTTCTTAGTGTCTTACCACCTTTGTTCAATGTTCAGATTCTGAGAAAAAAGGGGAGTAGGTTATTCTTTATGTCATAATAATGTTTACCTTTATGAGGAAAGGAAGGGGTCACCTGGGAGCTTTTGAGGTGCTAGAAAAGACTTATTTCTTAACCAGTATAGCGGTTATGCTGGTGTTTGTTTTGTATATAAGTGTTAAATGGTACAGCTAGGTGGATAATTATTTCTCAATGTAGTTTTTTTTTTTAAAGATTTTATTTTTTCCTTTTTCTCCCCAAAGACCCCCAGTACATAGTTGTATATTCTCAGTTGTGGGTCCTTCCAGCTGTGGCATGCGGGACGCCGCCTCAGCGTGGCCTGATGAGCAGTGCCATGTCTGTGCCCAGGATTCGAACTGCCGAAACACTGGGCAGCCTGCAGCGGAGCGCACGAACTCAACCACTCGGCCACTGGGCCGGCCCCGCTCAATGTAGATTTTAAATAAACATTTTAAAAGGAATTATCATTCAGGACTACATTTAGTAAAGTTTTCCATGAAAGTCTAAATATAAAGTTAAAAACAACTTCCCAGGAAAGACTAATTAGCCTTCCTCTCACAGTGAGCTTAGCAGAGGAGCAAAGAAGAAAGGCAGAGAAAAGAAGAGAGTTTCTTACTGTGTGGCAGATGTGCAGAAAGTTTAAGTGCATTGTAGGAGAAAGAGCCAGGATACATGGTGACGAGCATGCTGGGAAGTCAGCACAAGTTTGACTCAGCCTTAGCTTGGTCACTAGATGGCTTCATGTCTTGAACAAGTCACATCTGCCCTCTGAACCTGGTTTCAGCATCAACAAATGGAGAGATGATCTATCATATTGCTTGGCACATGGTAACTAATTTATACATATTTGTCTATTTGGATATATTCACTGTAATAGACCCTAACATTAAACTCTTCCTGGCATCTCCAGCCTCCAGATTCTTTTGCTCTGCAGCCTAGCCTGGAATACCTCACTCATATAGTATTTTGCTTCTACCTCAAGGACAGCAGTTATCCCATTGTGACCTGACAATCAACTGTGTACATATGGGTGGAATCCCAAGAACCCAGCACAACCCTGAGTTCATGCTCAGCAAATGATTTTTAATGCAAGGCTCCTCTTTTTCAAGCGCATAGATTCCATAGTGAGTTCAACTGAAATATATCAAGGGCCAATACCTTGGATATATTCTTATTCTAATATATAGATTCAACATGATTTCGAGTCAGATAGAGCTGAGTTCCAATCCTGCCTCTGGTTGATAGCTGAACAATTCGGGTCAAGTTAACCTCTCTGAGTTTATATTTTCTTAGCTATATAACCAGAGCACCAGTACCCACCTTGTAGTTTTCTGACAATCAATGAGTGCTGCACAGTGCCTGGCACATGGAGGGGCCCTCAGCCCATGTTAGTTTCCACCCTAATCAACTTCTTCACATGGCTCCTGAAATCAAATCAGGAGTTACAAGTTGAATCAGCCAAGCATCTCGACTGAGGGGTCATTTTCATCAGCAGCATCATGGTGATAAACCAAAATGTCATTTGTACTTTGAGGTGAGATGCACAGAGAGGGTCAGTGCATAAAAATAATGGGATATACCTTTCCTTTCAGAAAGAAATGTATTGTTTCACTAGGTGATAATACCATGCTTCTTTTGTAGCACTGGGCTGAAGTGTAACAGTATTTTTTTTTCAAAAGTATATTTTCCTGACCAAGTGGGTGCATTCTGTCAGGCAGGGCAGCTGCTGACAGCTAGGAAAGGAAAAGAAAGGAATTATGCAGACATTTGGCAGTGTAAATGTTAGGACAACTCAACTGTATGTGTGTTCAGGAGAGTTCAGCAGCTTAGGTGAATGCAACTCCAAGAAATAAAATGACAGCTTCCCTTAACCATTATGCTAATGGACAGTATGGGGGTGGGGAGTGTTTCTGTTACAGCAGACACTTGGGAGACAAGACTTCTGGGCTCACATCCTTCTCCCAACAACATCTCGCACTGTGATCCTGGGCAAGATGCTGAGCTTCGCTGTACTTTAGTTCTATTTCTCCATCTACAAACCCAAGCTAATAATAGTACCTCTGCTGCAGGGGTGGTACAAAGATTAATGAATTAATGAGAAGAACATACTGTGGAGAGAAGGCAGGCTGTAGCAATGTGGTCATTTCCACAAATCTCTGATTTGCACAGGGGCTGCTACAGCAGCTTTTCTGAATGTTATGCTCATTCCCCTCTTCTTCCCCGATAATGAACTTTTACATCCCATTTCTGCTCCTGCGAGATATGGATGCTCTTGTCCAGGCAATGATGAGTTCTCCATGGCCTCCAAGCCTGGGTGCAGTGTGAAAATGATAAGGAGAGAAGAGCCTGAGTCATAGCATGATGGGAATTGGAGATAGATATGAAAGATGAAAGAGCTTTAGCTTTAAAATAAATAAATAGCTTAACCATCTTCACAATTTTGCAGTTCTATCCAAAAGAACAATAAGCAGTGATGAGTGGGAATATTTTTATAAAATGAGTGTCACAATGCAGAGAATATGAAAAACTTAAATTAAATCTCATTTTCAAATTTAGTCATGACGTATTATGCCAAGAAGCAGTATGTTGTTTTATATATTAGGGTGTAGGGTAAGATGGTTCCACTACTACAGTATTTTGCCTGGCTTCCTGCCGCCAGCACAGGTCAGAGTTAAAAAAAAAAAAATAGCAAGACAACTAATGTCAGGTGTAGATAAAAGCATCAGGCATTCTAATACAATCTTAGGGCTGGGAAAATTAAAACAAAGCCAAACAATCAACAAACGAAAATTTAGTTTTCAGACTATGGTATGAAAAAATTTTATCAAACAGTCAGAAAAAGACAAGTAATTAATTACGTTATATACATGATTCCATTCATTAGTCTTCCAATGTGGAAAGTAAATTTATGATCCTACTTTTTAAAGACAGAGAGACTGATGTTCACAGATTTAATGATCTTGTTCAGAGTTACAAAGCTAGAGCAGTGAGCTGGGCTTTGAACCCAAGTATCAGTCATGTCAGTATCTATGTTTCAACTGCCTTTCCCCAACTTTCTGCAGAGAACAGGCTTATAGCTTAGGACAAAATAAATTATCTGATAGATGCTACATTGTCTGTTGCAAATGCATCCAAGTATCCATCCATTCATCTAACCATCCTAAGTATTTGGCAAACACCATCAAAGGACTGTGATCAGTGCTAGTTTAAAGAGTGCAGCCGGGGTAAAGAAGAATGCACCCTTTTCCTGAGTCTAGCAGGCAGGACTCAGAATTGCAAAGGGAAGAGGGTGAACAGGAGCATCACAACCCAGCAGAATTTAGCTGTTTCCTTAGAGTAGTGGCTGCTTGAACATTGCTGGTGCAGTGTCTCTGGGGCCTGAGGTTTTCATCTCTGCTGGAAGAGGATTCCAGTTCAACCCATCCCATCTAGGGTAGAGATGCTAAGATAACAGGTCCTCCACTATTAAGCAGATCTGAACACTCTTTGTATTGCTGTCATTTGCAAATGAGCCTGGAGATAGGAAATCCCAAGATGTAGTATAAAGGCTATAAAAAGCACACGTTACCTGTGTGCCAATTTTTCATAGGCAAACTCTATGCGCTGTACCCACGTGGTTTCCTGTGTTATTTAGGATCATCACAGATGTATTTGAACACGGTAGAGTAAGGGGAATGAAATTTTCCACCATTGCGTATCTGGGATTAAATAAACATCAGGAGATCCAAATAGCCCTCATTGCCTAAAACGATGAGTACAGTAAAATGACTCAATAGAATTCCTTCCACATTAGCCTTACCAGTGGGCACCAGTTTGCCAACACTCTTCTTTCTTGAATTCAGCACTTTTTTAACTGTTCTACTTACCTGACACAGAATCAGCTACTCTCTGTATGATTCCTATCTTTCTTCATTGCTGTCTTGGCTCTAGCTGCTATAACAAAATACTGTAAACTGAGTGGCTTTAAAACAACAGAAATATACTTCTCACACTGGGAAATCAAGGTCCGAGATCAGGGTGCTAGCATAGTCAGGTTCTGGTGAGGGCTCGTTTCTGGGTTGCAGACTGCTGACTTCTCCTTGTATCCACAAGGTGGAAAGACAGCTAGCTAGCTTTCTGGCCTCTTCCTATAAGGGTGCTAATTGCATTCATGAGGGCTCCACCCTCATGACATAATCACCTCACAAAGGCAACACTTCCAAATGCCATCACTTTGGGAATTAGATTTCCACATATGAACTTTGGGGGGACACATTCAGTCCATAATAGTTGCTATTCAAATTTTGAATTATTCAACTTTGGCACTGTTATTTCATTTGTTATGTGTTTATACCTTAGATCCCAAAGCAAACCTACGTGGACTTTATGTCAGAGACTGTGTCTTATGTATCTTATTCCCTCTCACTCCCTGTATGCTGTATGCCTTGAATATTGAAGGTGCTTAAAATGTTTACTTCTTAATTCATGCAATTAATGAATCTACCTGATGCTGAGGCCTGGCTTCATGTGAAATTCTGACACTAGCAAAGTATGTCTTTAGTGTTCTTTCATCTTGCTTTCAAGCGCCACTATTTCTTCACATAATTCTTCCAACAACGTTCTGGTTGCCGAGGAGGTGCTCCGACCAGGTCGGAACTGCAAACTGTTATGAAAGCAATCCTGATCACCATCTTATCATTTTCTTATCAAAAGTTGTGAGTGGTCTACTCATTCATCCATTCATTTGTTCACTCACACATTTTTTTTTTTATGAGAAAATTATGTTTTGTTCATAAACAATTTAGTGCCTACTACTATGTGTTGGGCTAGTCCTAACTAGCTAGTCTAACTAGATACTGGGGATTCAGTGGTGGGTAAGAAAGAAAATCATTGCTGCCCTAATGGAGCTTATGTTCTAGTGGCAGAGGCTGACCCTAAATATTCAAAATATCCATGAGTAACACCATTCCAGATGGAATGAGCACCAGGAGCAAAATAGCAAGATAGAGAGGAGACTAGAGAGATCCAGAAGGTCTCTCCAAGAAGATGACATTTGAGCTGACACATGAGTGACAAAAGATGTGCCGTGCAATTACCTGAGGGAAAATCCTTACGTAAATCTCAGAATTTGGAAAAAAAGAAACAAGGCAGGTGTAGCCAAAGTATAATTGATGAAGTGATGTTATAAACTTGGAGATAGGTTTGTCTAAGCCAGCAGGAATCAGAGCATGCAAACCTTGCAAGCGATGGCAAGTTTTTATAATAAGGGCCTGAGGGCTGATAAAAAGGTTTAAGCAAGCAGATGAGATGATTGGATTTATAACTTTAAAAGATGTCTCCGGCTGCTGTTTCCATGGGATCATTTTTTTCTAAATTGCATTATAAGAACTAATGAGTAAATAGAAAATTTACTTTACAGAAATTTTCTTTAAGGCCAGATTTGTTAACCTACTCTTTTGCAAAAAGTCAGAGGATCTTATCAAAGAAAACATTTAGCAAGCTCACAATAGCCTGTATCGTAGATGTACGCATCTGGAATACACGTCTGTATTCTACATGTGTCTGTAACTTTTTAAGTTTGCTGTTTGACTTTCAACACGTTGCAAACTCTCTGGGCCTGAAAAATGAGGAAGTTTGAATGAGATGATTTCTAAGATCTCTTTCAGCTCTAATATTTTATGACCATGAAATTAGTGCATTAGAAACTGATTAAAATCTAAGAAGCTATAAAATATCCTTTCTCTTCAATCTTGTGAGAGAAATGAATCAGAGATATTACTACTATTCATGATGATCAACATGTGTGCAACGTTTTATAGTCTGTAAAAGATACATCCATTGTACCTTTTGAAATCACATAATACCGAGAAGTAGGTATTATGATTATCTCTATTTTACAAGTGAGAAAATTGATGTTCGGAGAATTGTTTGTT